TATATATATAAAAATCTCCCACTCCAGTGTCCCCATAACCACTGCTTCATGTGAGCCCAAGAGTTAGGGTAGATGGGGCCTGTTGGGTCTTGAAGGTTAAATTCCTAGGTCATTGAAGGCCGGCCCAGAAGGCTGGAGCCCCAGGATGAGCGAAGTGGGCCCTGCAGGTGGAATTAGACAGTGGGGATGTATCAATTAGGGAAGAGGGGGTGGGAATAGGGGTGGAGCTTATCGAAGAAGGGGCGGAGCCTGGAGACAACAGTTTAAAGAGGCCCCAGCTTCCTCTTCCTCCTGCCATTCCCCATCTGTCACCTCCACTCTCCCCTCCACCATCTGCGTCCATCCCTGGTCATTCAGATATCATCCATCCTCATGCTCTCTCTCTCACTCGGTCCACTGATCGGCTCTGGGGTCCCACGTTCCCCCCCAGGTGTTCTACCAGCGGGCGGACATGGCCATCGGCTCCCTCACCATCAATGAGGAGCGGTCCGAGATCGTGGACTTCTCCGTCCCCTTCGTAGAGACGGGCATCAGCGTCATGGTGGCGCGTAGCAATGGCACTGTGTCCCCCTCTGCCTTCCTCGGTGAGCTGGGGCCCAGAGAATCAGGGAAAACAAAACAAAAACAAAAGAGCATACTTCCCTGTACCCCAGTAAGACCGCTCAGAAGTAATAGCACACCTGAGCCTCAGTTTCCCGATCAGTACAATGGGAGGAACAACTCCCCTACCAGGAGCACCTCAAAGGAAGGAAGCTTGGGTTCCAGGCCATCTGTTGAGACCACACGGTGACCCAGGAGACGCAAGTCCCTGTCCACTAGGAAGTGGTAGGTCAAGGACAAGGTTGCTTTAGGCGGTGACAGATCCCATGACGGAGCTAGACTAAGCCTTGCCTCTCCCCACGCCTAAGCCTGAGTCTTTGGACACCAGTTTACTAGCTGCTGGAGCTGCTGGATGGTTCAACCGCACCAGCTGCTGGATGGCAGAAAGAAGTGGCAGTCTGACCCAGTGAAGATTTACGGCCTCAGAGACCCAATGGGGCAGTTCTACTCAGTTCTGTCTGGCTGTTGTGAGTCAGAGTTGACTCAGTGACAGTTAATGCAGGGTGGTGGTGGTGGGGTGTATGTGTGTATGTGTGTGTGTGTGTGTGTGTGTGTATGTGTTGGGTTGGATTGGAGTGGTTGATCCTAACACAATGCAGGCCCACATGTATCTGAATAGACAGGCCACAGGGTGCTCAGGGCCTGACTTTTCTAAAGTAGATTGCCAGGCCTTTCTTCCAAGGTACTTCCAAATGACTTTAAACTACTACATTTAAAGTCTGGTGCTTAACTGTTAGTGCTGTTAGGGATCCTTTGTCTGGTAGTCCAATTTACTGAGCAGACGACAGCTCCAGGCATCTTGGACCAGCTCCCTTTGCTCTCTGCATTCAGAACCAGCTTCTGGAGAGAGGCCTTACTGGGAAGAAGACAGCCCTTTTTTTGCTTTGTCTCTCAAGAATGTCCGTCCCACCCTCTCTGGCCTTCTCTGCACTGAGGGCTCTGCAGGGCACATTGAGATGTACTCCTGCCGGCAGCGGGGAGGTGACAAGGTCATATTTGCTCCCCGTCAAGTTGCCCCGCGCAGGCGACAGGCATGTGGCCAGATGTCCTAGTGACACCCCAGGGTGAAGAGGCAGCTGTGACAGGGGCAGCCCTGGCTGCGTGCACTTGGCCTGGAGGTCACTCCTGTCACTTGGTTTGCTTGTCAGTGAGCTCCCAGAAGGGACACACAGTCTCTGGGTGTGAGGTGGGGTTTGCATGGGTGCACTGAACGAGGGACTATAGAGATGGCATTACTTGGTTTAGAGGCCTGTGAGTTCTTGAGTGACCAAGCTGCAGGGGACAGTGGAGGAAGTCTGAAGGGCTGGGACATGGTTGTGAGGGCACTAGGGAGGCATGAGGGGATTAGAGGGAGGGGCATGGTCAGCTATGGGTCCAGAAAGATTCTCAAAGGCAAGCTGGAGGTGGGGGGGATGCCGGAGCAGGGCTAGCCATAAGAATGGAGACTGAAGTCGAGTCCGAAGGTAGGAGGAATAGGTCAGGATAACAAGCAGCTGTTTGATCTAGGACAGGAAGGTGGTGGGATTTTCTCAGGATGAGTCACCCAGGAGGAGGGAAGGTCTGGTGTGAGATTTGATGGGTGACTCGGATGTGTCCAGGGAAAGGTGGAGACTGGCTCTAGAGTTCGAGAAACATATGTAGAAGGCAGTTCATGTCTGGTGATGACGTGTGAGTGGTGCAGTGTTTACACATTCAACTGTTAATTGAAAGATTGGAAGTTCAAACCCACCAGCCTCCGTGGAAGAAGCGAGCAACATGTCGGTCAACTAAAACCCTGTGGGGTGGTTTTGTGTGGCCTTCCAGAGTCACAATGAGTCAGTGGGTAGCAGAGGTTTGTGTATCTGGTGCATTTTTTCAAAGGACTGCTGTCAGAAGCCCTGGTCGTGCAGCATTTAAACCATTTGGCACCTAACCTTCAAGCTGGTATGGTTCAAAACAACCAGCTACACTGTGAGAGACATGTGTGTGACAGCTCCCCAAAAGATGGCAGCCTGGGACACCCTGTGGGGCGCATGTCCTCCGTCCCCCAGGGTTGCGATGGATCAGAATTGAGTAGCGGGCACCAGACAGCAGCCCAGTACCTGTGGCTGAAACCACTGAAGTGGTTGGGATTTCTCTCCTTGAGGCTGTGCTCCTTCTAGAGGGTACCTGGGAGGAGGAGGAGGATGGACCAGGAGGCTGGAGGCTGCATCCACGAGTGTCTGGGGTTTGGTAGGCAGCCTCTCCTCCCACTTTGCCTAGTCTGAACCCTGACCACTCCCCCCTCCCCCACCCCAGAGCCCTACAGCCCCGCCGTGTGGGTGATGATGTTCGTCATGTGCCTCACTGTGGTCGCCGTCACCGTTTTCATCTTTGAGTACCTCAGTCCGGTCGGCTACAACCGCAGCCTGGCCACGGGCAAGCGTGAGTCTCCTTACCTCCATCACCCTGGCCCTTAACCACAGGTGGGACTACATTTCCCATCATCCCCCTGCGGCAGAGCCACGGCCCTCAAGGCAGGTCAGGGGCCCCGGTGCCCACTGGGAATTGTAGTTCTCTCTGTTCCCTCATACGATGCAAGGATTTGGGGTCCATGTCCCCCCACCCCCGATCCCCCTTGCAGGCCCTGGCGGCTCAACCTTCACCATTGGGAAATCAATCTGGTTGCTCTGGGCCCTGGTGTTCAATAACTCGGTGCCCGTGGAGAACCCCCGGGGGACCACCAGCAAAATCATGGTGCTGGTGTGGGCCTTCTTCGCCGTCATCTTCCTCGCCAGCTACACAGCCAACCTGGCCGCCTTCATGATCCAGGAGGAGTACGTGGACACCGTGTCTGGGCTCAGTGACCGCAAGGTGCGTGTGTTCAGGGGTGAGAGGTGAAAAGTCACAGAGATTGGTCTACGGGAGGTCAGAGGGAAAATCCTGAGGGTCTCTATCTAGGTGAAGTTCCAGAATGGTACAGTGGAATATTCTGGAAGAAGAAAGGGGAGGTTTTAACAGAAGCAATTTAAATATAGCTGGTAGCTGACCCTCCAGTGGGTTTTCAGGGGCTATAAATTACACGGGAGGAGATTGCACCACTTTATCCCGAGGGGCAGCTGGTGGATTCCAAGGTCCTACCTTTGGATTGGCGACGCAGCTCTTTACCCATTAGACCATCAGCGCTCCTTTTTAAGAAAATAATTGTGACTAGGGAAAGGGAGTGCCTTAGAACATTCCAGGGCCAACGAGGCTCAAGGAGATATAGGTACAGCTCAGACAGAGTGGCAAAGAAGTGCAATGCAATCCTGAAGTTGCATGGTTTGAATCCACCCAGTGCTGTGCTGGAGAAGGAGAGGCAATCTCCTGTTGTGCCAGTCGGATCCGATTCGATGGCACACAAGAAAAGAAAGAAAAATTTAAAAACATCAATTAACCAATAATTGGGTCTCCACATTTTCCAAGATAAAGAAAATAATTAACTTTTTGGGAGAACAATATTGAAAATGTTGGAATTACCAGTATTGCAGTTACCAATGTGAAGTCTATTTGATGCTTATTAATTAAAATTTTCCCACTTAAAAAAAATCAATTAAAAAAAAGTCATGTTTACTCTATGTACAATAACGCTATGGGAAAAGCCTGAAAGTTTGTGAAAATGACCAAAATGTGACACAGAGACACACAGAGAGTACAGGTTGTTGAGAAAATGAGGGTGACAGACTTGCTGGAGACCGGGCCTAGTGGCAAGAAGCTGCATTGCAATTCCAGAGGTATATGTTTTGAATCCACCAGATACTCTGCTGGAGAAGGAGGGGCAAACTCCTGTACCAGTCAGATCTGATTTGACGGCACACACACACACACACATAAATAATAAAATTTAAAAACCCCAAAACTGTTCTGGAAGCGCAGTGAGATGCCTACATCTCAGAGTGGAACAGAGGAGAAGGCCCATGTTTGAAATTTCAAATCAGTCTGTTGAAGATCAGTGTGTTTGCAAGATCCGATGTAAATTCATGAATCAAAATAAGAAAATTTAAAGCCAAGACTTGAAAATGTTCAAACCCCAATTTTGTGTTTGTTAGATTCCAGGAACATAAAACCATCCTATCAAATTGCATCAAGCACTCACTCTCAGTGTCTGTACTTATCTCCTTGTGGGTCACATTTGTTCAGAAACTAGTGGTTTGCAGACACATTTTGGGGTCAACCTGGTTAACCAGGCCTTGTGGCCCTATAAGTAGAGTGAAAACTCGATTCTCTGCTTTGCAGGGAGCATTTTGGATTCAGTGTGATGCAATGGAAGAGACTAGAATTATAAAATATGTTGACGGCACCTTATGTAATAAGAATGAGCATTGTCTTATGAAACTTTTGTTGTAGTCATTTACATGCATGGCGTTGGGCCAGCAGGCACCAGTTCGGCTGTGCCTGTTGGGAGAAAGAGTAATTAATTCTGAATGTAATACACGCCATCCCCAACCACAGCCTCCCTCCTCCCCAGGACCTCTCATGGTCCAGCAAGTGAAGGATTAACCCTGGCAAATCAGTGTCCTCTAGGACCCTTCTCAGGAGCGTTGTGTAATTGGGCTGCTAGGTTTCCAGTTCAAATCCACCAGCCTCTCAAAAGGAGAAAGATGATGCTGTTTGCTCCTGTTAAGATTTCTAGGCTCAGAAACCAATAAAGAATTATTGTTTTTTGGAATTGACTCCATAGCCGTGGGAATTTTTTTTTTTTTTGGTTGCTTGGTTTGGCTCCAGTATAACACAGCTCTGTATCAGGGCCCTTTCTGATGGGGAGGTGACTGGCCTGGGCCAGTTGTTAGATTAAGCTTTGGGTTGCTACCTCAAAGGTTGGTGGTTCACAGCCCACCAGCCGTTCATGGGGAGAAAGACGTGGCAGTCTGTTTCAAGAAAGACTTGACAAGGGTTTGGTAAAGCATGCAATGAATTATATTAATAAATTTAATTGTTATAAAAAAGAAATGATATATGAAAGCTGGGATGAAAAGCAATATAGTTTGTAAATGTTCATTCAAAAAAAAATGTAAAAACAAAACAGATTTGTTGTTGTTGTTATGTGCCATCGAGTCGCTTGCGACTCATAGCGACACTATGTACAACAGCCCTAAACTCGACTCTGTCCTGTGCCAATCGCACTGTCTCTGACACACCCATCCCGATTACCCCAGTCACTGAATCAATCCACCTCATAGAGGGCCTTCCCCTCCTGCGCTGTCCCTCCACCCTCCCCAGCATGATGTCCTTCTCCAAGGACCTATCTCTCCTTACAGCATGACCAAAGTATGTCAGACGAAGCCTCAGAAAACATTTACAGGCTTGGAAATCCAGTGGGGTTAATTCATTCTGACTCCAGGGCAACTCTGCAGCCATGAGTTCAGTTTCCTCCCTTGCTTTTGTTATGTCTGTGTAATCCACATGGGTTACATAAGCAGTTAAGCACTTCACTGCTAAAAGAAAGGTTAGAGGTTCCATTCCGCGCGCCGCCCCCCCGGAGTGGCTCGGTGTAAAGACCTGGCTATCTACTTCTGCAAGATCATGCCATTGGCTGTCACGAGAGTCTGCTTCAACCACACAGTGGACCCTGTGGGCTACAGAGTGAATCTGCTCTTGAATAGCATCTTCTGGCTGGAATTCTTTGTGGAAGCAGATCATCTGATCTTCCTTGCGAGCCCCTGCTTGGGTGCAAACTCCAGTTTGCTCTCTGCTTGCATCGCCACTCACCTCCTGTGGTTAAAAAAAAGAAAAAGCAAACTCACTGCCCTCCAGTGGAACCGATTCATAGCAGACCTTTTTTTTTTTAATTATTATTTTTGTGTGAGTGTACTGTCAAATCAGATCTGACTGGTACAAGAGGAGATTGTCCCTCCTTCCCCGGCAGAGCATCTGGTGGATTTGAACCGTGCACCTCTGGGATTGTAGTTGTAGGTCCTTGCCACTCACTAGGCCACCAGAGCTCCCCTGATTCATAGCAGATCCTGCAGCGGGTTTTCAGAGGCTGTAAATGCAACCAGGGAAGACTGCCTGTCTGAGCGGCTGGTGGATTTGAACAGCCAGGGAGCCCGTTAGCCCCTCAGCTCCCCAGGACTTCACTGCCAGAGCCCCCTAACACCATCAGTTGGGCTTGAAAAGGTGCTTCTGAACTGGGGTGTCCGCCAGCACCAGGTGGCTGTCATCTGCCCCCCAGGACAGGGCATCTGGGTGGGGAGCTGTCCTCAAGGAGGCACCCTAAAACCCCCACCCCATTCTACTCCAGTTCCAGCGGCCCCAGGAGCAGTACCCGCCGCTCAAGTTCGGGACGGTGCCCAATGGGTCCACGGAGAAGAACATACGCAGCAACTACCCCGACATGCACAGCTACATGGTGCGTTACAACCAGCCCCGCGTGGAGGAGGCCCTGACGCAGCTCAAGGCAGGGTCAGTGCACAGGGGGCTGGGCAACAGGGGCGAGCATGGGGGATCCAGGGGGGCTCAGGGTTCAGCCATCAGCCTCAAGGGCCAGAGGGAGGCGGGGTTATCGCCTTGGTAGACTCCCCACCTCCTCAACCCAGCAATAGTGATGTTTTGGGGGGTGTGTGTGGAGAGGGAGGGTTCCACTCGAATGATCTGAGACCTGATTGCCTGAGTTCCAACCCTCTTCCTGACCAGTCTGATCTTGAAAAAGTCGGGCAACCTCTCTTGAGCCTCCGTTTCCGCCTCCGTGAGCCTCACTTTCCACCTCTCTGAGCCTCAGTTTCCGTCTCTGTAAAATGGGCACATGCCAGCCACACAGTGGTTATAGACATGGAAAGAGTTAACCCCCGCTGCAGATGAAAAACAGTGCCTGGACCACGGTAGGTATTGGCTGCTATTCTCACGAGGTTTCTCATTACGTGTGAACATACTGGAATCAATTACCTGGAAGTAAAAATCGCGCAGGGGGCAGCATTCATCTAACCTCACAGAAGAACGGGGACCCCCAGCCTCCCACCTTCTAATAAATTCTGGCACCAGCTGCTCCTTTTTCATCATTTTCTCCTCCTTTGCTGGGCTCCATATTCCATTGCAATGGGCACATAGAACTCCCAGGCCATATCCGCAGTGTTGGGGTTTATTAGGGAAGTCTTTCTCTCTCTTTCTTTCAAAACCATGAAGTCAGAACTGACTTAATAGTTGACCCTCCGTTGAGTTCCCAAGGCTGTGAATCACTCAGAAGGAGATTGCCCATTTTATCCTGCCGAGCTGATAGCAGATTGGAACCGCCGGAGAGGTGCTGCATTTGGGTTACCAGCAAAGCTCCCTACAGACTAGACCACCCAGCCCGCATTTCTTAAAAAAGGTGACAATTCCATCTCTGGAAAGAGTTAGGATACAATTGTTCAGTTAGGACACGCTCTTTCCTGCTACGCCCGAAGGCTGATCTTTCTCTGGACCTTGGCCTCTCAGCCTTGCCTCTGTCCTGTTTGGATAAGTGTTACAAAGCTCTTTTAACATTGCTGGTTCAGGGAGCGCTGGTAGCCTAGTGGTAAGAAGCTGCACTGCAATCCCTAAAGTGCCCTGTTCAAATCCAGCAGATGTTCTCCTGGAGAAGGAGGGACAATCTTCTCCTGGGCCAGTCAGAACTAATGCAATGGTATGCAACTGAAAAAGATAAAAAAAACAAAACAAAACATTGCTGGTCAAATCTCCAGACGCACTTCCATCAGTAAGTGTGTCCAGGTGGGGAGGCCCTCAGCTTTTATCTCCTGGATTTGCAAATCCAGGGGCACAAATAAGTTCCTGAGACTCTCCACTCCAGCATCCGGCCCCCATAGCACTCATCTTTCTCCTTCCTAGACAAGGAAGCTGTGTGTGTGTGTGTGTGTGTGTGTGTGTGTGTGTGT